AATAATGTAAGAACTCAAATTAGGCCCTAAACTACTATAAACATAGCACTAAGAGTAAAAAAAAATGATGTTAAAACAGAATTTGTGTTGAATTTTATATATTTTTAAAGTGTGACCAGGCTTTGGAACCTAAGTAAAGTTAAATTCCGTTGTAGAACGTTGTTCATTACTTAGTATGTGAAAATGTGATATGCGGTGCTGAAATTGCAGGTCTCATAATATTAGAATTTACATACTATGTTTGACATGCCTATTAAAAAACATGTTTTAATGATTCACAGAGACTGACCTCCAGAGTCTTTTGGAGGATGTTGGGTTGGAGCAGTTCTACAGAGAAAAGCTATCACTGAGCCAAATACTTGAGATCAATGAGAAGACAACTACTGATGACCCCGGCAAGTGGAAATCAAACGTCACAATGTATTTTTTAAAGAAATTGATGATGGTTAATGTGACTGCTAGAAATGTAGAATGTATCTCTTGTGAATCAAACAATGTTCCTTCTGAGTCAAACACTGATGATGTAACTGAGACAGCAGAGTACAATTATGAGGATCTGTTTGACAGCCCAAATAAGGCTGGAAAATTTAACCCTCTGGATATAATCACTGCTCTATTCCTGTGTTCCGATGGGTTTGTTCAGCAAGAGTTAGCACTAAAAATGTCCATGTGTCAGTTTTCTGTTCCCCTTCTGCTTCCAAACTGTGATACAAAGCAGTGCACCCTCATGCTGTGGGCCATGAGAGACATTGTTAAGAAGTACAGACCTCCAGCTCTGTCACAATCAAAGGGATTCATGGAAGAAAGAATAGTTACCTCCAAACTTCCAATGGTCTCTTTTGTTAGACTGGGTAAGTGCTCCATGTCCAAATCAGACAGCCTAAATAAACTCCTGAGTAACCCTCAGAAGAACAATGACACCTTTGCTCACCGCAACATGAAGTGTGGAGACACTCCAAGAAGAATATCCAAAGGACTGACTGAAATTACCTGGTACCTTCCCTGTGGAAACAAAAACATGGACATTTTCAGTGAGCCAGTAGCTATAGCTAACCTTCATGGTGACATAGCTTCATTTGAAACACAATTCTCCTTTTTGTGTCAGACATCTGCTGCAGTTTTTGTGTTCTTTGATGAGCTGAAGCAGCTGGAACAACAGTTAAAACTGCTGACTAACAAAAACCACAAAGAAAAAATATACTTAGTGGGAAACCAAAAAAGCAAAAGCTTTACTCCAGATAGGCTAAAAAAAATAGCAAACAAACTGAGGTTGAATAAGAGCAGAATCATCATAAAAACAAAGAAGATAAATGATGCTGACTTTGTCAAATGTTTGAAGAACACTGTGAGCAAAGTACTTACCAACACAAAACACAGGATGTCAGTAGAGAAGATGGCTGACATTGCACATCAACTGGGAATAGAAGTTGATGAGGATTCTCCAGAATGCCAGGATGGAAGGAAAAAAGCAGATGCCATCACTGCAGAGATTAAAGACACATCCAAATACAAAGAGGAACAGTTTCCTTTGCAAGACCAAATATGGAACGAACTGACTTTATTGGAAAAGGAAGAATTTCGTCTTCGAAAAGTTGGATCTGAAAACATAGAAGACTATAAAAGTAAACTTAGAATGAAAAAAGAAGAGCTGCGTCAGAAACAGAACTCCTATGCTATGTCAGATG